CACACACACACACACACACACACACACACACACACACACACATGCACACAAACGCAGGCTTACTATCACAAGCATAATATAAATGAGCAGCAATATAAACAATAATAACCTTAAGCTAGATACACACTCAATATTATTCTGATGCATGCTGTAAGATCGTAAGAATACTTATACAAGATGGTTAAGATGGAAGCATTTTGATGAATAATGGTAAAAATGACCTTCTATATCTTTCTTTGTTACAGATCAGAAACCTAGGTCGTTTACTTCTGACTGATGTTTGTATTTGAGGGAACAAGGGATGTTTGTTGTCAAAAAAGATGGAATTAATTCTTTTAGTGTAAGCTGTTTTGTACAATTCATCCAAGTAGAGGAATGTAGATGTTGAGATTTTACATGCTTTCCGTATTAGTCGATTTAATTTTTCTTTATCTTGTTGTCCTGTGTTCCCGGCCCATGCTGTTATACAAAAATTAATCATACTTTCTATGGTTGAATGATAGAATATGGACGGTCAAAGGGCATACTATACTGGCGATCAAAATGCCTAATATACAAGGCAAGGCCAGCATTCAATCAATTATCAAGTCTGGAAAGCAAGCAACATCTCACTGAGCACCAAGATTCGACTCTTTAAACTCCACCGTCAAGTCTGTGCTCCTCTAAGGCTGCGAAACTTGGAAGACTAGAAAGACAGTGCTGAATAAAGTCCAGAATTTCATCAACAGATATATGAGGAGTATTCTACGAATTAAGTTGCAGGATAGAATAAGATATTTTTTAAAATGAAGAGCTCTGGAAAAGGACAGGACAAAAGGAGATAGAAGTAGAAATAGGACTAAGAAAGTGGGGATGGATTGGACACCTTAAAAAAGCCCAGCGGAAAATCACAAGACAGTCACTGCTGTGGAACCCACAGGGAGCACGAGGCAGGGGTAGGCCACGGGAAACATGGAGGAGATGAGTGGAAAGGGACATGAGAGAGATGAAGCTCATTTGGAACGAGCTTGGAAGGATGGCCCAGGACGGAGACAAATGGAAGGAGCTTGTATGTGGCCTATACCCTGCCAGGGGTGAAAGGCATTGATGATGATGATGGAGAAAGGACATAATACAGGCCTACTAGTGATCAACAAATGTAATGTACTGGCGATCTCAGGACGTAATAATATATTGGTGACACCCCCCCCCCCAAAAAAAAAGGTGCTTCTCTTTGATCTACGTTAAAAAATCTAATATTTTGAGTCTTTACACGTTTACGTCCACCAGAGTAATACTGAGTACTCCAAAAGGTAGGTCATGGTATGGAAACAACATTTTGCTGTTTGGATCAGTGTGTACAGCACCAACGTTTAAATAACAGAAAATTGCAGTTTTTCCTGACCACATGGCATATTTTTTTTCTCTCCTTTCATTGTTAATTTTTAATCCTTTCTTTAAAACTAAGTTTTTGGTCTGTTTTTACCAAAAGACCCTAAACACAAGTAACATAATATATTTTTTTAAAATCGTTGTCTCTCAAATAAAATAATAGATGACAGTGTGCGCTCTGTGTGTACAACCCTCAAGATGGGTCCTGACGAGCAGGGTGGAAGCAACCGACGTCAGAATTGTGCGGTTGTTATACTCAGATGTACACGCCTGATAATTCCCTTGGTGAACTCTCTCACTTTTCTTTACTTCATTTCTGTTCTGCTTTACTCCAAACTTGTTTTCAAAAGTGCTATATATAACCTCTTTGCTGTTCTCCTTTCGCTTGGCCAAAACGTTCCGTCTCTAATCTTGAAGGAAAGACCTTCAGACCCAGAGCAAACATCAACCAAAGCAAAACGACATGTATCAGCTTGAGTCAGGCAGGGCAGGTCCCTTTTGCTCCCCGCCCTCCGTTCCCCTCTTATACTTTTTCAAAAATGCCCGAAATGAAACATAATAATCCCAAACAAAAGTAGAACAAACAAAAGCCAGCAATAAACAGAATTCATTCCGAAGTCACTGAATATATTATGTACCATTTGTATAAAGATTTATTTTTAGGGACGGGGTGATGTTTTTTGGGGGGTTTTTTAAGCGGGTGGGGGGTTGCGGGCGAGGTAATTTATTCTTCCCAAAAACTCAACGTGTGCAGTCTTGAAGCCTTTGTCACGAGTTGGCTGTTCCCAGACAGTGACCAACGGTCAGTGTTCATTTCGCGGCTCAGTTTTAACCTCCGACTAGATTTCTTTCTCCTTTTCAAACCCTTGTCTTCAGCTTCTACCTTGTATTAGTATTTTTTTTTTTTAAAATGCTGTTTCTCTACTGTGCGTTTGCTGATCATTTTATTTCTTTCTACAAGTGCGGCACGAGCCAGAGAAATTGTAGCCAAGGAATCTGATGGCGTTGTGGGATATATAACTATCTGAACGTAGATGTAAGTAACTTTTCTGAAATAACTTAGTGAGGGTTGTTACTGTGGTGTGGTTTGCTCCTTCTTTCCTTAAAAAAATCTATCGTCTCTATCTCCCCTCCTTCTTTTTGGAGTTTTTTGTAACACCTCTAATTTTCTTCACTTATATAAATGATATATGACCTTATTGTGTTGCAAGTGCCGTAAAACTCTTATTAAAACTAAACTGAAATAAGTCATTAAACCTAAAAAAAAATTTTTTTTTAAATAA